AGTTTTCTAATTTATGTTATTCATCTTTGTAGGTGCTTCTATTCTTTATATGATACAAGGATTCTTATCAGAAGATGTTTTTCAAGAAGGACTTAAAAGATATCTAAATAATAAATAAGTTTATTATAATTATTTATATTTAAAAGTAAAGAAAAAAATGTTTTCTTAACATTTATATTATATAAATATTGAATAACGCAAATCACAATTGTGTATAACATTAATCACAATAAAATAATAGAATAATCTTAAAATTTCATAATTTTAGCAAGGGCGAATCCGTTGATTCTAACGATTTCTTCGAATCTGTCCAAGCTTCCAATAAGAAAGTGGAAGAATGTTTGCCAAAAAGTGTTACACTTAAACAAGTTATGGATAATTGGGTTAATAAACCTGGATATCCTGTCATTACCGTCACGTGGAATAAGAAATTACCTGGTACTGTTAATATAACGCAGGAACGATTCTTTTGGAAACCAGTGAAAGAAGATAAAACTCAGTGGTATATACCCATCAACTATGTAACAGAAGAATCGCCCGAAAAAGTAATGCCTACGGACAAAAAATCTCGCTGGTTGATACCCGGGACAAATGCATCAATAGACAATCTAAACAACACGAAATGGATACTTTTCAATAAGAATCAGACAGGTATGTAAATATTGATCATCGCTATGTAATCTTTACATTCATTGTAACGCTAATGATGCGTGCACCTATTAATCTACTAGATTATTTGACATACTTACATTAATATTTTATATAAAACTAAAATAAAATTGTATATAAAGATGTAGAACAAATAACATAATTAGTGTAATTTGTTATATTTGAGTTAGTCTTTTTTATAATCATAATTATGTATACAAAAGCAAATTTATGAAGATTAAAAGTTGAATATGGCAAAAAATATGAAATAATATTATTTACAGGTTTCTATCGTGTAAATTATGACGATTCAAATTGGCAGAAGCTAGCATCGTACTTAAAATTGTCTTCTTATCGTAATATAAGTGCAACCAACCGCGCCCAATTGATCGATGATGCATTAAATCTCGCGCGTGCAGGACACTTGGCATATGAGATTGCGTTGCAGATTACATCGTATTTATCACATGAGACTGATTATATTCCATGGTATACCGCTGTCAGAGCATTCAATTATTTGGACAACGTATTAATAGGTGGAAAGAACTACACAAAATATCACGTAAGTTGAATATAAGAAAAAATATCATGTTATAATTGTGGATGCATATTTTAATAGCAAAAAAAGAGAAACATATACAAGCATTAATGTTTTAACACATCACTTAATTTCAGAAATATGTCGCTGAAAAGATAAAATCTTTTGCACTGACAGTCAACTACAAGAATTGGGAAAATAGTACGCATGTAGATAAACTTGCCAAAGTATTAGCTTTAAACACAGCTTGTAAATACGGATTGGAAGACTGCAATAACTTTGCTAATAAAAAGCTTGCAGATTGGTTGGACAATAAGAAGAAAGAAGATGAGAAGAAGTAAGTCCGAGAGCTTGTTGTAGTTTCATAAATTCATAATTACGATCCATTATATATACTTGCTAAATAACAATAAGATTTCTGCATCGTCTATAAACTTATCATACAGTTTATAGAATATGTTGAGCAATACGATGCAAATACATTATACGTTTTATTCTTAAACATTTGTAAAAATTTTTAAACTTAAAAATTTTTCGTTACGTGTACGTACAAATATAAAAATAATGCAATTCTTGTCAACATTTAGCAATATTACATATCTAATATATAGAAATTATATTAACTGTTGACCGAGTATTTCTAGACTCTTACCAGACTTAAGACGTGGAATTCTTTGTGCCGGATTGCGAAATGCAAGCGCACAAATATGGAATGCCACTCTACAAAAGTACAAAACCACTGAAGATAAAGATGAAAAGGCGGACATTCTGGCCGGTCTTGGTTGCGCTACATCTAAGGAAAATGTCCAGAAATTTCTCGCGTTAACTCTCGAGAAAGATTCCGACATCGATATTTTTGCTGCGTTGAATTCGATATGTGCGGGTAATCACGAATCCTTCGACATCCTCGTAGAATTCATCAACGATAAAATTGAAACAATTCATAATGCGTAAGTTAATTTTTATTCCTTACTTTGATAATACAAAGTATATCATAAACAAATTAATAATATAATAATTTCTTTACAGAGATAAAGAAGATAACTCATTGCTAAGTGCCCTCCTTATTCAACTTTCCGACAGAGTCGTAACAACAAAGCAATATATAGAGGTAATACATCATTAATCTCTTTCTTATTTAATCTATATTTTTAAAGATAATAAATTTTTTATTAAACTAAAGAGAATTAAACCCTCATTGAAAGATATACTCTTTTAAATTTAACTTTTATATTGCACGTATCATATACATGCATAAAAATTGATTATGATTTTAGTAATGTAATTTAATTAATGTCTATCAGAAAATAACATTAGATAATTTATACTCAATTTTACTATTTCAAATTTGAACATTTTTTTAACTACGTAATTGAATGACATATGCGGATCAAATCGCGATAACATATCTTTTGTGTAATTAAATTTTAGTAATTGGAACCTTCAAAACATTTCATTTCTATCTCGTGTTCGATCGCACGCTTATATCTTATCTCAGAGTGGATTGATTGAATGTTTCACAATTTTGTGAAATATTGCGTCTCCAAAATGTATTCAATTATCGTCAACTACCATGTTATAAAAATTCAATAATCTAATAATATTGATCAATTGAATCAATAATTCTAAAACAAAATTTTTAATATAACTATTTCTGTATTTTAGTTATCGCTACTCATACATGGGCAACTGCAAAACGCAAACAAGTTTGAAGCATTGTCCGCTGCGACGAACAAACTTGTCTGGATCAATACCAACCGGGACAGTGTTGAGAAATGGATAGTAAAAAATTGTGAAACTTGTCACGAAAATAAGCCAGACTCTGCAAATTCCATTACTTTGTCGTTGTTCCTTCCGATTATTTTGTTGTCATTCACACGATTCTATTAAAAAGTCAAATTCATTATTATGTACTATCTTTAATTGATTAATTTCCAACTTAATCATATTTTCTCAATAAAATCGGAGTATAACACTTTTCTGGCTCTTTCAATGATTTATTTGTTGAAAGATTATTACATTTGATTTTTTTAATGAGAAGAAAATGAAATTGGAAGATACTGCAGATGTATTGTATATTATGTATTTTCTTCTCAAATTTCTCGTATTTATTCCAAGTTACAATTTTAATATAAATGCGCGTTTGTAGTTTATAAGATATCAAAAATGCTTTTAGTAATAATGCATTTAGCTGATAAGCTAAATGATATTATAACATTTAACAAATTAAAGACCAAATGCAGATCCATGAAAGACTTAGTACTGTAATTAATATACTGAAAAGTTATTAAGATATAATATAGTTACATAATTGTATGTACATGGTATGATTGTAAATATATTGATTGCTATTTATACCACTTATACAATAATTTATTTAATTTATGACTATTTATAATTGAAATAAAGAAGAAAGATAAAGATGTTAATCTTTTCCGCCAAATTTTAGGCAGTTAAAATGTTTACAGAGATTATGTTTATAAAATTATATAAGGAAATTTTTTGCATTGTGATTGACTGATTGCTTTAAACTTGCCTTTTATAACATTGCCATAAAAAAATGTATTTAATAAAAAATATAATTATTTGTGTTGTTTGAAATTAATTACGTATGATTTAAAAAGAATTAATAAAAAGTATACCTATTCCTTAGTATGGATATAATTATCATTATTACGTAAAAATATTCATAAAAATTTCAAATAAATTGAATATCACTAAAATGATCGTAATAATAAAATAAGCTTTAGTATAAAAGATTTTTTTTATATTAAAAACACAATAACATAAATATTCTTTTATTATAATGCATGACATAACTCATCGTTTCATAATATGAGACATAGGTCAATCATGTAAATTATTCATGCCTTTATGCACATTTGAAATAACAATGGGTATGCGTCGAATATCCGATTGTCATACGAGTAAGTATTCTTACTGAATGTTATAAAAGAAGACTAAAGTCAATTCATTTCACAAGTAAAGGCACTTTACTATCGAGCAGGAAGACATATACTTAGCTGCAGCAACGTTTCGCTTGATTTCGACAATTATATCACGTAAATATATTGAGTAACAAGGTAATATTCATCGTATACATTGATAACAATAAGAAACTGATTACAACAATACAATATGAGAATTATCTCGCTAACATTTCGTAAAGCCATCGATAATTATCTTGAATTCAAATTCAAATATCAATGTATATTCTTGATAAGCACGATATTATATTGTATAGACGTGTTTCTAAACAAGGGATTTTCCATAATATATTTAATATAGTGCATATAATTAAAAAAAGATTCTTATTATGTTAAATAATATTATTAAAATTGTAACATATTGAAAATACCGCACTAGAAATAATTAATTAAATCAATATTGACATCAATAATACTGATCCGTCAACGCCGATTCGGCCAATCATTTCTGAGTACTAGGTAATATAAATAAATAAAATTATTTATTTAAAATTTTTATATACGTTTTTATATATAATAACGATGTAAAGACTTAAATATAATATAATATTGTTTGTTTGTTTTTATATATGTTTGTATTATAAATATTAAGATAGTTTTTGTATTTTTAATTAGAAATTAATTCAAATAGTAGCTACACAGAATTTATATCAATAATATTTAGGAAATAAATGTAATACAAAGGGCTACGAGCCAAAACAATTTAAATTTAATGTAATAAACTAACAGATAATACAAGAACAATTAAGAAACAGACGTTTCAATCACTTTTTTTTCATTATCAATGTTAAAAATGACATTATGTATAATAATATTTATATACAAACTCTTTTTCTTAAAAACCAATTTATTGAAATATAATAATTGGAAGTAATATTCGAGTAATATTCGTACAGATATTTGAAAAAAAGAATTAGCATGGTGAATTTTCTGAAAGTATTATTAAATATTGGCTTAATATTTACCGCTGCAACGGCTCTTTCTGTTGACGGAGATTCAAGGAATGACTTGAGCACAGTCAATTACCGTTTACCAGACAATGTAGTGCCAGTGCACTACAGCATCGGACTTATACCGTATATTGAAAAGGATAATTTTACCTTTGATGGTAAATCGCATATCATCATTGAGATTTGTCGTACATCGCAGAACATAAGTTTACACGCACTGGATTTAATTATAAATGAAACAGCAACATCATTGATTAGCAGCGATACCAATATTTATGCACCGACGACACATAATTATGACAATAAAACAGAAATCTTAACCCTTCATTTCAATGATGAATTATCTCCTGGAATTTATAATCTATATATACAATTCATCGGTATTCTAAATGATGAATTGCATGGCTTCTTCAGAACATCTTATACCAATGAGAAAGGAGAAAAAGTGTAAGTATAGAAATGTTCAATATTAAAATTTTAAAAATGTTTTTAA